TTAAGTCTCTCCCAGCACTGATTTGCAGACATGGCAGACAGGGTTACTGTCTGAGGATGAAAACACAGTCTACAATTGTTTTGTCTGGGTGAACTTTCACTGACTGGGATAGTGTTTCAATCCACATTGTGTGACCACACTGTGTAATCAGTGTAAGTTAGTGATTGGTCCATTTGATGAAGAAACTTTTATCAAACATTAACCTGTTTAATGAAATACACTACAGATGCTTAAAAACCCAATGTTAGCTGTCTTCCTGTTAAGAATGAAGTTTCAGTTGCTTGTGATTACCTTCACCAAGGTCCATAATGGCCAGGACAGCACTGCAGCTTGCCTCTCCCAGCTCATTGGTCGCCACGCAGGAATACAAGCCAGCATCGCTCGTGCGGCAGTCCCGTATCCACAGCCCTCCTGAGTCCTGGGCTTCTGATGGAGGAAGGAGCTCATCGTTGTGGTACCAGGTCAGCGAAGGTTTTGGAAATCCTGCCACTGACACCCTTAGTCGGATATCACAACCTGTTCCTACTGCCGCTTTACGGAGTTTACGGGTGAAAACAGGCGCCATGGGTTCTTGCATTGCAACCCCAGCATCTGCATCAGCTTTGGTGATTTTGGGCCTTTTGGAAGGGATGTTGAGACTGGGACTGGATCCAGGGTCTTCTGCCATGTTGATTTCCTTTGGGACTGAACTTTTTATCTGGTAATTGAATGAGGTATCAAGATGAGCTTGAGTTATTGAAGGCCTCTTCTAAAAGACTCCACTGGTTCAGATACTGCTGGGCTCACAGGTAGGACAGAGGATGTCTGACCTGGGCTGATGCACTGGGGACTGTAATAACGAGAGTACATCAATCAGAACGACATCAACTTTATACTTCGGTGCACATTTTACAGCCTAACTCCAGACACTATTTGCTAGTAAATGTGCTCATTAGAAACAATTACATCAATTGTTCAAACGGCCCATATTGATACATATACTATCCGTAAAAAGTACAGCACTGGTTGGGTGTTCAAAACGCTTTAAGCTTTACTGCTCAGCCTGTCAAAACAGTTGCATAATGGCTTCTGTTGCTCTTACGGAGCTTTGTCAACTCTGAGAAAATTACTTCGGAAATGAGGTTTAAAAAGAAATGTGTGGGGCGGCCTAACTAATGATGCTATTGATCTGCGTTGTGGGAAAGGTAGGATCCAGGGTTTTTGGAGACTGACCCATACTAAAGAGCCAGAAGTCAAGACGTCTGCCTCTTTTGACAATTTAAAAATAGGTAAATAGGTACTACATTGTTGGGAGTGCCCTTTAGCAAGGCAAGGTATGGCCTAACCTCATTTACACATTGGCTGGGTCTGTTGTTTTGGTGCCAAGGTATGGTAGCTAGGAAGGACCACAACCCTTTATAACACATGTCAAGACCCTACTGTGTGTGGTCTTACATTGGAAACAATAGCCATAGTTCGTTTAGAAGCCTGTAAAGTTAAACATCTAGAGAGTCTAGTCTTTGGAAGATTGGAAGATTGGAAGGATGGCCCTACAAAGGCTGGGATTTACTTTCCATCTCCTACTCACAATTAAGTCTGACAACCTTTTTGCAATATTAAGCAAGTAGTTCTTCCGAATGTTAAAAAGGAAAGTGGTGTGTCCTCGTCCTACTGATAGCAGCACCAGATCAGAAAAAACATTCACATGGGTCACTTTGGACTGCAATGATAAGTGACCTTTTTTGTCATTTCAGGTTTAAGGACTTCCTCAAAACATCAAAAACGGCAAAATAAATTTTTTTAAATGTAATGTCATAATTACTGATCAATGAATGCATCAGCATTAAGATTTGCTTCACATGCTAATTTACAACATTCCACTAATGCGCTGATGCAAAGAGCTGCCTAAAATAGACTTTATAATAGAAAGAAATGCAACTTACCTCACTTTTGCCATTAAAGCTCAAGGAATCCCTTTGGACATCCCCGCAAAGTCCAAGAGAAGGTAACAAGATCCATTGAGCAAAATATTTCATTTCAAATCATTTGCTAACACTCATGTCTGTGTGTCCTTTAGCGAGCACGGGCTGTAGGTGTAAGTCCAAACTAGATCATGTAGCATTAGCAGCCACTGTCATGGTCCCTTTCAACAGCTTTAAACCTAATGAAGAAGAGTGAGATTGAGAGAGAGAGAGAGAGAAAGAGAGAGAGACCCTTTTTCCTAAGTGTCAAACCACTCAGGCCTTCTGCCCTAGTGTGTTTTCAGTAACTACCTTTAAAAACAACTTTTAACCTTTGTAGGCTTCTAAGGATTTAAATCAACTCATGTTATCTGTCTCTCTCTCTCCCATCTCACTGCTTCACCCCCAACTCCCTCCGGTTGGGAACGACAGCTGCACCACCACCGATAGGTCACATTTCTTGAGCTGCCATGTATGATCTATACACGCACACACACACACACACACACACACTCTGAGCCCTGTAGATAATGTTATCAACCAAAATGTATGTGTGTGTGGGTCTCTGAGTGCGTGAGGCAGTTGGAGTCGCTATAAAAAGAAAGTCTAAGAATAAAAACAGGACTTAGTGATTCACATGACTATAGGGCAGTGATATAACAATACAATGTAATATAACTGGGTTGGAACACTTGCAGTAGACACAACAGACTATGTTTAATACATTTATCCAGCTGAAGCAGTTTGATGAGTTCATTCGTAGTGCTCTTCTAAAAAACTCCATTAAGATGTTTCTCTACTGTATGTGTACCGATTTCTTTATAAATCCTTGTTATTGTTTTGTTTGTTAAATATGTTTATTATGAACTTTATGACAGGAAGTTATTCTAATTAGACTTAGTATGCCTCAACCTGAAATAAGTCACAAAATGTTACATCTTCAACTACAACTATCAGAACTTTTCTTTTTCTTCCTTTGTGTAAGTGATGGTTCAGTTGTTTATGGCAAAATATGCAGAAATAGTGTTTCTTCAGTTTTTTCGCTGAACAAAACACACTGCTCTCTGTCAATCCAAAATATAACTGAACCTGATTGTTTAACTGAGGAAAAATTAGTTTTGACTTGCTCAGGAGAATATATTAGTGTGCAGAATTATTAGGCAGCTAAATTACCAAAATCATTTTTATCAATTATGTGTTTAATTTAAATTTTTTGACACAAAACACAAAACACAAAATGACAATTAAATAAAAATGTTGGGACTTCCAAAAATATTTAGAAACCAATATAGCCACCACTTTTCTCAATAACTACCATGAGTTTTTCATCCATGGAGTCTGTCAGTTTCTTGATATTTTCATCTACATACGTAGATGCATGAGATGTATCATTTACCTGCATAAGATCATGGCCTTCTTGAAAACTGAGGACTTCTTCCTGTACTACTGCTTGAAGAAAGTATCTTACAGATACTGGCAGTTGGTTAGGGAGTTGAGTTTCAGTCCTTCTTCAACCCGAAAGGTCCAGATATCATATACTTAATGATAGCAGCCCATATCAGTATGCCTCCTCCACATTGCTGGCGCCTGAGTTGAAGTGGTGCCATGTTCATCAATGATCCAACCACTGGCCCAGTCATCTGCTCCATCAAGAGTCACTCTCATTTCATTTTTCCATTAAATCTTTAAAAAATATGTCTTCAGGTGTTTCTTTGTCCAAATTTTGACACTTCAATTTGTGAATTTTATTCAGTGGTGCCTGTGTTTCTCTGAGCACTTGGCAACTTGTACTTCTGGACTTGACAGTTGCAATTCTAGAATATGGTGGCACTGGAGGATAACGGGTTCCTGGTAGCTTCATGTTTAATTCTACTAATCTCTTTTATGGCCCATTTTACCTGAAATAATGAAGCTGCCTAATAATCATAAAAAACCTTGATATAAGGTGTGATTCACTTTCACCACACCCTCCCTCCTTACACAAATGCATATCACCTGACAATGACTACCTCAAATGAGCATTCAAGTTTATATGGTTTGGAGTTGGAAAATGTGCATAGAAATAATTCTTTATTCAATACTTGCCTAATAATTGTGTGCGCAGTGTATGCAGTATAATTAACCCCATCATGTTTGTTTTTATTTTCATCTAACGAAGTCGGTTTTCAGCTTGAATATTAATATACATATTTTTGGAAATTACATTAACAAGGATGCTCCTAAGCAAAACATTTCCTCAATAATGCAGATGTTTAATTACATGCGTTCAAAAAGGGGTCCAGATCATATCACATCAGAATATCGGCACATACCCAAAGTTTTGTGCTCAGCGTTAAAAAAACATTGTCATTGTTTGGTTTTGTCTGTATTGTCTGTCTCACAGTTTCCCTCAGGAACAACGTGTTCAAACTGTACTTTTCTCCTTGAAACAAGCTGTTGGGCCCTGGGGCGGACTAACACTGAGCCAAGACAAACATTAAAAATACTTTATATATTTTGGATTGCACAGCCAAATTTAATCAAATAATGTCAAGTAACTGTGGCTCTTCTCTAAACATTCTAGTCTGTAAATCAACAAACTAGACAGGTTGGAATGACTTTTTCTTCCTGAGCTGTTTGCCATCAGCCATACCCTTAGGAGGTTAGCAGATGAGGGCGTGAGGGGAAAAAGTCTTTCAGACAGGTATTAGCAACTCTCTGAGGATCTCTGCCTCACCTTCATAGCTTAGATCATTCTAGTATCATTATCTCAAATGGAACAAAAGCAGGTTGTTAGGGTGTTTTTTTTTTTTTTTGACAGCAACAGCAACATTTGGTCAGTTGAACTTTTTTCTTCCTTTTCTTTCAGTTGCTGTAGTGTCACACCTGTTGTTTTTGATGATTTTAAGTATCAAAGTTTCAAAAGCACTCTTTATGCAGTGTTACACTATACATACAAGGTAATGTACATCCCCTGAAGTGCTGTATATATAATTAAGGCCCCCCCGACTTCAGGGTGTGTGCACGTCTGTGTGTGGTTATGTGTGTGTGCATAGCAAACAAGAAGAAATTGTATAAATAGCTGGGATCTGCTGTATAATCATCACTTGCCATGTCTTTCTTCATGCTTTCCACAAGACTGATCATCATCGCCTGTGAGTCTACAGCCTGTTCTTTTGTCTTTAATAGTCTTTAACTGTGAGAGTAACTTGTAAAAATGGGAGCTATTATGTTACATGTTCTTAATAAGATATACTGTATTTTTATGTGTTCCTTATCTTTAGTGCTGGCGGCTGCTTGGTGTCAGACATCGTATGGTAAAATACCTTGTCTTTATTTTACTTCATTTGATTTTATGTCAAGTTTTTTTTTTTTTTGATTCTATAAGCTTTCTTCTGTGAACTACCATTCGTAATTCATAGTCCTGAAGAAATACAGTTATTCAATAATTCACGAAAAAATAATCAAAGATTAACAAGTGTGACTCAGGGTGTCGTAAGTGCCGAACTTTGGCAATTGATTGTTTTTAATACACAATGTGATTTTTAAATGACATTTTGTTTTGCTGCAGGAAACTATGATGTGGCATGTCCTGGTGTAAACAGCGAACTGTTTTGCCGTATGTAGTGTTTTATTCATTTACATTTTAAGAAAAAAAAAACATTTTCTCCCACCACCATCTTTACTCTCTTAAGGTCCTTCCTTCCCTCTCCTACCATCACCAACTGTTAGTATTTTGCTTTATGATCCATGTTTTGTGTATGTTCAGCTAAAGGAAGTGTGATTGAAGTGCTGTCCATGAAACATGGTTTGAAAAGCGCCGCTATCTGCGCTGACAGAACCCAGCCTGCTGTAACCTCGGAGAAGAACTGCATTGACAACAGAATGATAGCATGGGTCAAGCTTGTGTAAGAGTTTTTGGATTTTGTTGACTTTATTAGTTGTTCAGTTTGTTTGTTGAGTAGACATAAAAGATACTGCCGGCACTGTATTTGGGAACAAGGTGGTGAAACTAAGCTTGTTACATTTCAGATGGGTAGAAGTTGTTAGTAGTTCCACCAAAAAGACATTTCTCCTCTTGACTTCCCAGGTGGTTTTATTAAAACTATTGTTTGAGGTCTAAAGAGGTCAAACTATCCTATATTTTACAAAAAAAAGAATATATTAGTCTTTCCTCTCCCATTAATCATTTTACGGCCCTATCCCTTCTTCTGACCATTTGAGGGTGCTTGACCTCTAGTTTGGGAACCACTAGACCAAACAACTTAACTGTTTTTAAAATAGTCCAAACTAGCCCAACCTCAACAGTAAAATGCTGTTTACAAATTGATGCAACAGTATTAACAATCTATTGATGTTGTATATTATAATAGATCAGTCATAGGGGCCATAGTATAAATTGGTGCTTACAGTACACATGAACATAAATAGTAATATAAATATATAAAAAGTTGAAGCAGGTAAGAAAAGATGAGAAGGTATACGAAAATTACAATAATACTATAAGTATGCGCAAAACTTCACAGCATGAGGATAAAGCACAGTTGAGTGTTGTTGTAAAGTGTGGGGTACTGGTAGTTTTAAAGTAAAGATACCTGACTACTTCTTCCACCACCAGTAATTCCATTTAATTTAATTGCAAAACCTTGCTATGCTAGCAGGAATATCGCCCTCTGCCAGGCATGACTGAGAGGTTTTTTAGTGATTGGTAAGGTTTGAGACTGGAAACATAACCTTGCAGTTACATGTTCAAATGCAATTTTAAAGACAGACTTTTAACCACAGATTTAGAACAATTTTTTTTTTTCAAATTTAAATGGTAAAATTGCCTGTGCACATTATCTTGTGCTTTAAATCTTGAATCTTGAATATGCAACATTTTGACTTTTCTAATATTACTATAGCTGTGACAATATGGAACACTGCCGTCTGCCCAAGCCCCATCCCATGGAGTTTCTGTGCGATTACTCAAGTGATAACTTCATTCTGACCACCTACAAGTGTAACCTGAAAAGAACTGGTGAGTATTTTTCAACACAGCAGAGCACCTGCTGGTGTACAACAGGATAAATCCGCACATATCAGTGGAGATGTCTGGATGATTTAAGGATTGTAAACTAAGATCTGACCTTTTCTCCTAATGTTTTGACAGATTTGCAAACTACTGTCATATGTCAAGGACAAGCTCAGGATATTACGTGTGGTAAGAATGCCTCTATAATGTGTTAACATGTGATTATGTTGATAAATATAATATATATATAAACATTTGTAATTTTTTTAGTAACAATAAAAAAGCACGATGAGAATTTTGAAAAACAGAATTGTAAATCTTTCATTTTATTATTGCTTTGGTTTGAGCTTCTGTTTGTTTCCTTTTTACCTAATGTGTCTCACCTGTGTTAATGACCTTGCCAGCTTGTGTGTGTGTGTGTGTGTGTATGGGTGTGAGATTATACTGTATATAGTCTGTGTTCCTTCCAGTTCTTTAGTCAGTCCACCGTGTTTCTGAAATACTCATTTTGTCTGCTTTCTGTATCGGCACCGTTGTGACATTAGTCATCAGATATATAGCTGCGGTTTTTAAAACGGGGGTGGAAACCATGAAATGCAGATTAATGTTAATTCACTTTACGTCTAAGAAGTTTTCTCTACATCAACTATTAAGTGTAAATTTTAGCCCTTGTTATGACACATTTTGTCTTCATCTGTGTGTCACTCTAAGAAAAAGGAGTCCTTCACATTGTAAAGGCCAGTTTTGGACGTTTCGATGAGAACACCTGCACCCAAACCCCTTCGACAATGACCTACTGTGCAAGTGCCGAAGCTGATGAAAGAGTGAAAAAAATGTGCGTATTGGTACAAAGGATTTTGAGTGGAGGCAAATGGAATATGATATTTGTTCTAAATTGATATTCTTGAATATATTTTCATATACTAGAATTCGTGCTTCACAATAATTGTTATTATAATTGAACTACTTCTCTGTGCAGTATTATTATCGGTAGTTTATTCTTTTAATTTATAGGCCTAATACATTCGTGGTTGTTTTTTATATTATTAACCCACCCCTTTCTCTTAAATTTACCTTCAGGTGTAACAACAAAAACAAGTGCAACATTATAGCAAGTCCTGATTATCTGGGAAAACCTACTTATTGTGATAATCTTCCCATGTACCTCACTGTGGATTATGTTTGTCAGTTAGTGGTAAGTTTAATAAAAGGCATCTACTGTGCATGGTTTGGCAAACAGTCAAAGCATTTAACACATCATGCAATGTTTTCTTTTTAACTTTTAGGGGATTCGCTTCAGCATCAGAGAGAGGAGCAGTGACTCTGTGTGGGGCTCTTTACAGCAATCACATTTCAACGAGAATGTGTTTGGTTGAATTATTAAAAGAGTGAAACAAATGATTGTGTTTGTCTTTCTTGAGAAAGTCACAGTTCTGCTGTTAACTTATTTTAAAATTGTTTCTTAAAGCACGACTTCAAGCTGACTACCAATTAAAGTGTAGGAATTATCCTTTACTCGACCAATCAGAATATGCCTAAAACCACAGACACAAACAAAATTCAAAGCTACAATAAATGTTTCAATGTTTTAATGAATTATGAACAACACATGCAGCCTAAAAGACGAAATAAAAGATGAAGAGAAACATTAAAATGAGCTGGTGGCTCAGATAAAATCAGGATATGCTTTCTGATACAAGTGTGTTTTTAGAAGGGATTTAAAAAAGGACACTGACTCAGACAGCCTAATTTCCTCAGACAGGTTGTGCCAGAGCCTTGTGGCCCTGACAACAAAAGCTCAGTCACCTTCAGTTTTCAGGAAGAGACAGGAGACCCATGCCCAAAGAAGAACGAATTTAAAATATCAAAAATAATCTGAAGCCAGGTCATGGAGAGCCTTAAAAGTAATCAATAAGATCTAAATCTTAATCCTAAAACAAACAGAGAGCTAATGTAAAGAGGCTAAAACTGGTGTGATGTGATCACACCTCTTGGTTCTGGTTAAAAGCCTAGTAGCTGAGTTCGGCACAATGTGTAGTGATGGGACAAAACTTGTAACTGCACACACATCTGGCGGTGTAGTGTGTTGCCGCCCTCTTCTGGTGAATACAGTTCAATCAGGAGAGACTTCATCTGAGTGAGCAATAATAACTTGTTGACATGTGTCCAATGAACATGACAGATGTAAAAAATCTGGCGATTAGACCCCATGTGATGATGTGGAATTTAAAGGGCGTGGTGAAGCTGGATGTGAAGGAATCCCCGAGCTGTTCTCCATCACTGTTGAGGAGTCAGTCCCCACACCCTGTGCAACAGGTGCTTTGAATGATCCTCAAATCAACTCAGAGTAATGTTGATATTGAGCCATACTTTCTATAGAGCTTTAAACCAGATCTCACGGGGTCAAATATCAACTTCATTATTATCTCAAAGGAAAATGGTTCGCACGCAGGATATTAAAACACATACATCACAGGAACTAAACATAACAATTAAGATGATAAAAAGACAAAAACAAATACAATATAATATCAGAGGATGCTCATTTCGTATGTCATTTTCTTCTCCATGAAAACTTAGCAAACTCCATCTTCTAATTCACAGTGGTAGAAAATCAGGTTTGTATTTATCAAGCTTCTCAGATTTACTCATATGAACAGTGCTAAGAACTGACTTAAGAGTAAAAAAAGTCTTGGCTCAAAGCTGCGCTTAAAAGGTAGTTATCAAGCATCATAGTCCTAATTTGAGTGAAGTGTAGGACTAAATCTTAAATGTCAGTCCGATGATTCAGGACACTTTGCTGTGCAGCAAACAGGATTTTGGATGACGATGTCGGCAAGGACCAATCACTGAATGGATTTCCTTCTATAAGAATTTTCTCAGATAAATTCACATTGAATGGTGAAATTCCTAAGAGGAGTTCACATTCAACAGATATTTGACAATTAAGAATTTTTAAGAGAATATATTATGACATTGGAAATGAAAGATGAAGTTGATCTTTACATGAGTGACATCAACTGCACCTATTACTCCTGGGATGTTGTTGGGAAGTCAATGAAACGTGTGACAGTGTGTGGAGTGTGTGGAGTGTTTCCATGACAGTTTGGCTTATTGATGGTCAAAATCATCAGCATGCTGCATTTTTGCTGTGGCAAATAAACAAAGTGTCATCACCACCTTCAGTTTAGCGTAAAATGTATTGCTGTATAAAGTCAGTGGTGAGATGACGTCTCTCACCATCTTGCTGACAAAGTTCGGAAACATTCTTCCTCTCCTGAAATATTTGCACATGTCTCTGTCTCCACAGCACCATCACAAGCCCCTGCAGGCAGCTCCTAACCATTTGAGAGACCTCTGAAGCTGTGTTAAATAACTGGGAGAGTGAGAGTGATTCTTAGCTTTAAGAAATGTGATAACTTGCTTTATACTTAAGTTTGAAAGTACGAGTTAATGTCATGAATTCTCTGCACTTAAGACTAAAAATGGCACTTTGATGAGTCTAATAAATACCGGCCCTGATCCTTTACTTAAGTAAAAGTAGTAATTTCACACTGAGAAAATACTCCACTACAAGTAAAAGTCCTGTATACAACCTTACTTAAAGTATGTAAGCATTATCTGCAAAATGTATTGTATATGATTTTCAGCCCTTTATGGAACACTTCATCTTCCAATTCATCAGAAAAATTCAAATTCAAAATCACAACATTTGGAGATACATGGGTTTCACTGGGAAGTAAAGGTATTAAAAGTTGTAATCTAAAAAGTAACCAGTAATTTAAGCACATCAGGCAAATGCAGTATGAGTAAAAAGTACAGCATTTTCATCTGAGAAGTAGAAGTATAAAGTAGCATAAAATAGAAATACTCAAGTAGAGTACAAGTACCTTGAATTTGTACTTTACAGTGCTTCAGTAAATGTACTTGTTGACATTCCAGCACTGCTGACGAATACCATGAAATGTGGACATGACCAGTAAGTGGACCGTGATTTAGAACTGTTTTGTGAAAGTGGAATATCTTATTTGAAAACACGGCTCTAAAGATGATTGGTTGGTCCAAAACAAAGCTTGTGAACATCTGGTCTGTTGCCCGTTAAAGAGCTGATAAAATGTCCTTGCACAGAAACAAGTAACAGAAAATATATTTCTCAGACAGATTCAGGGATTCGAGGCCAGTCAGATAAAGAACAGGCACACGCAGGTTTCCCTTACAGTAGACAAAAGCTTTTTTGTTTAGTGGGAAAACAGGTGTGTGTTGTGTGTTAGATATGGCCGCTGTCAAAGCGTGCAGGATATTAATAAACACTTTTGCAATAGAGGTCACAGACGAACGTTTTCAGAAGGTTGCTCTACAGTAACGTGTGAAACATTTTTGCATAGCTGTAGAAAGCAATTGTTATCCACATACTGTAGGAGATGATAAAAACAGGAGACGTGTTATTTCATTGGACTCATTTGATCAGGATTATGTATAGAGACATCTAGAAGTAATGTATGTTAAAATTTCCACTTATAAGCAAAAATCCCTTACTAAATGAAACGTTTCCATCTGTCTGTGCTTTATATAAATAATGCACATGTACTGTTTGTGCTGGAGACCCCTGGTTAGGCTATAAACCAACCAAAAGCAACTCTGCATGACTCAAAGCAAGAAAATAAACCATGTAGCCAGTTTGGCTACATTCCCTCAATTTTGTATGAGACAGCCACCAAAACAGATAATGCAACATCTTAACTTTCAAGGTCATTCTTTGCTATCTTCCTTTTGTGTGTTGGCAGCAAAATGCTTTTGCTCGCTCATACTCCGACTACGGCTTAAGATAGCTGCAGAGCCAAACAAACAAGTGAGAATAAAGAAAGTCACAGAGGAGATTCACTTTTGTGGAACTAACTGGATCTTCATCTTTATAGAAGCTCTGTGCTATTCTGGAGCAGTAAAAGTATTCAGACTATTGTTTTGGACTTTTTTAGTTTTTTGTTACACTTGGAAGATATTTTGTACCCAACAGTGCTCTTAGACAGTACAGTCATGGTGTCCTGGGCTCTCTTCATCCTGGGCCCTTTGTCGATCCACATTCTGACGCAAGCCTGCAGGGGAGAGGAGCTGTCCCGGGAAGTGGTGTTGTCCTGGTTCAGAGAGCGGGTTCTGGAGGAACTGGAGCTGGAGGAGCCTCCTATGACCACACTGCAAGGTCCTGATAGCGATACGGCACAGCCGCATGCAAGGCACGCTCCCCGGAGGGCCTCCCGAACAAGCAAGACAGCGTGGGTCAACCATGGAACCAGTCTGAACCAGGAAATGTCTCAAATTATTCTCTTCCCCAGTTCTGGTGAGAAGCTTTGTTGTTTTTGTTTTTTTTTACCTGAACAACACCTTAAACTCCCTCCTCCTCACCTATTTGTACAGTTTCTCTCCAAAACGCTATACCTTCATTTTGGATCCTGGCAAAGTGTGTTCTTGTCCCATGATTTAAATGATCTGAGCTCATCATCAATCCATTCATTCACTGAAATTATACAAAAATATATATACATATATTTACATTCCAAAATACCGCAGATGTGTCATGTTTGATCTGGATCCAAACAGTATTTCCATGTTGTGGATTAAAATTGTTTTTTTTTTATATTTAGTTTGTCATATTGGTGCTTGAGCACAAGACTAGACTAAAAGTGCAGTAAAGTGCTTCCATAGCAGTAATTTAATATTTCTGTTTCTTTTTTTGAAACTACACAGCCTTGAATACAATGCTATATATTCCACATTTTCATTCATACCTTTACATCTCCATCAGGTGTTTATTGCACATGCCGTGTTTATATTAATATTGAAATCACACTATTTCATATTGCAGTTATGCTCACTATATGAACGCTGCAGATTATTATTAGTGTTACGACCCGGCTTGTCGTGGAGAGCAGTGACATATAATTGGGATTGAAAATGGGGTAGAACACAACAACTGGAATGGTTCTGATTAATGTTACGTGTTTAATTAACCAAGGGAGCGCTCGCACAAGGAATCCAACAAAAGAAGAGTACAGGTGCTGACAAACAGCCGTTAATAAAATAAAAGAGGGTCTTATCCAAAGACAGTTACTTAGCTCAAAATGGTCTTGTTACGCAAAATAAATAAGCTTCCAAAAACCAATAAAGAAACCGTGGACACACAAACCATTGAAGGTGCAGCTGGAGTTGATTGGAGACTTCTGATTGGTAGGTTCAGTCAGATTATGGCCACACCAATCACTGACCCCAGCGAGCAGCAACCAGGGAGTAGGCAGTTTAATCTCCTGAGGGACTAATCTTCAACGGGGATTCATACAGCGGGATTTACATAAACAGCAGAATCTCTAATGGGAACAGGACAATAAACACACTCTGACTAGCAGCAAGCGGTGGCCATAACATTGGTTAGCTAATGTAGGGGAGACCCGGGTATGGTTGTAACACTTTTTGCTTCAGTAACTATAACTCACTGAATTTTTTAGCTAGACTTCTCAAATTTTTATACAAAGTACCCACATATGTTCACTACAAATGGAACCAATTCAATCCTGTACAAGAATATCACAGACCTCGTGAGTTGATGTCAAATGCATTGTGTTCCCTTGTTACAACCTACCCCAATGGCAGGGTAGGTTGTAACACATGCTGGGGTAAGTTGTAACAATCACACAAAAGAATCAAAAATAGATGCCACACTATAAGATAAGCTTCCAAAACAGGTAGTGATATCAAGTGATGTAGTGATGTAACACTTTTTTAAGTAGTGTTACAACCCACCCCACCCCTGTCAGCCAATGTTGAGCTAGTGGTATTACCATAGTGTTTTGAAATTAGAAAGGAAACAATGCATCACATGTTGTCTGAGAAACTATATTTCAATCTTAAATTAGTCAAACAATTCTATCTGCAGTAGTATAGAGACTAAACAAAAAATAGTCTTGGTCAAAAAATCTTCAAAATCATTTTTTTCTCTATATATTCTGAATGCACCTCTTTCCAGACTTGATAACCACCAAGCTTGATCTGGGAGGAAGTAGGTGAATACTGAAATGATCACCTAACTCCTATCTTATCTCTATTTGGTGGAATTGGTGTTGTTACAACTCTCCCCATGTTACAACCATACCCAGTCTCCCCTATTAGTTTATGATGAAAATAACTAAGTTGGAAAACAAACTTTTGCATATAGATACGTGTGTGCAGTATGTAAATATGGGCAATACATGGTAACACCCTTTATGTAAAGACCCTGTGTGTCCATTGTTTATGAGGTCAGGTGGCTAAAGAAACTAAAGAGCAACAACACCAGGAGCAAAAGCAGTGTTCAAATCTGTTTTCGCCTGATTGTGTGTGGTCAGAAGTGTGCTTTGTATAACCACACCCAACAGCGATGTCACACTATCACCTCAGCAGGGTGAGACATTACCACTCGGGGTCAGTTTATGGGGCTGTTAAGTTAGGCTACTCATTATTCTGATGATATGACTTGTTTATTGTGGGCTAAATCTCAGTAAAAAGGGATGTAGTCTATGTGTTGATCTTTCCCTATACACTAAAGCTCCACTAGATAACAGCAGCACTCATAGGAATCAAAATGGTCTCATAAAAAAGCAATAAATATCACTGACTGCTCTCTAATCCCAATTTGGCAGACTCATCCTGTGCTAGATCTGACTCAGCTCCAGGAGGAGCCACCGACAACCACTTCACATATTACTTCCAGCCCTCCATGAACCACGACGAGACTCTGGTCACATCTGCCCACTTCTGGTTCTATGCAGGCAAAGGAGCCACATCCAACTCCTCTGCCCAGCTGTTCATTCTCACTTCAGAGCAGAAGCTACTTCAGGCGGCAGAGGATCCATCAAAAAAGAGCTCAGACGGATGGACCACCTACCACCTGGTTCAAAATCTACTGGCCTCTGTAGCTGAGGGCCCTTTCCTACTCCAGGTCCACTGTTCAGCCTGCCAGTGCCACGCCAACGAACCAGACAAGATGCCCTTTATTCACCTCCACGCTCAGCCTCGAGGTCCTGTCCGTTCACCTCGCCATGCCCCAGGAATCATTCCCTGGTCTCCGTCTGCTATCGACCTGCTCCAGCGGCCTTCTCTGGACAGGACCCAGCACAGCGACTGTCAGCGAGCACAGATCGAAATCAGCTTTGAGGAGCTGGGCTGGGACAACTGGATCGTCCATCCAAAGGTGCTGACTTTCTACTACTGTCATGGGAACTGCTCGGCCCGGGATCGGGCCACTGCCATGCTTGGGTTCAAGCAGTGCTGTGCTCCGGTCCCGGGGACCATGAAGTCCCTGAGGATCACCACCACATCTGATGGCGGGTACTCATTCAAGTATGAGACCCTGCCTAACATTATACCTGAAGAGTGTACTTGTATCTGAACATTAAAGCTGAAAGAGCCAGTTCACCAAAATTACCACGGTGCATGAAGCCATTTCTTATTTAATGTGGTGTCTTTGACTGGAACTTCTCCCTGTGCCCCAATTCCATACTAACTGTGTAAAGCATACTATATATTAATTGTTTTAGTGTAGGCCTACTCAGTGTTTTACAGCTTGTATACAAAATAATCAACATACTTAACCATTTTATAGCAGCAGGAAATTATACACTACTTGCTGATGCATGTTCATCACACTGTGACTGTGGAACGTCTCCGCGAATAAACGCACAGAGAAAGCAAAAAAAGTTGACTGGCCTAAACAGCACATACAACCAAAAGTTGACATAGTCTGACACCACATGGTGAAAGTTAGAAAATATGTTGCTGTATAACAGATCATTTAAAACTTAGAATTTCTTACTAATAACAGACGGCCTATAAACTTTTTATTTCGTTACAATCTGCAAGTAAAAGTTCTCAGGCCAACATTGTTTTGTTTTTTTATTTGTGAATCTTACCTATAGATGGCAGTGTAGGCCTATTTTCACACTGCATCATCTCCCATATGGTCATATTCTGTTCTGCAGTCCGGTAGTGTGGGAGAGCACCAGACTGCAGAGCAGCATTGATTGTCCTCAAGCTATGAGACTTAACTCATATTCATCCTCAGCACTGCTCCATTACATATAGTTTATTTCTGTTTACCATTTTTACAATTGCTTTTAAATAAATTTAAATTGTCTGCTGTAGCAGAAGGGAGTTACTAACCTCAATTTCTCTTACCTGTTCTAATGTGACAAAATAAATCTACCTATTCCCATTTACTGATCTACAGTCATGTATATTAAACAAGGAACTTAAAGTGTACTGTAAATACCAAACACTTCAACTCCATGTGAAAACATTTCACACAAGATCCCCATTTTCTCTTTGCCCCCACATGGCAGTTTTTAGTAAGAAAAATCTGTATATTTTTCACAAATTCAATGTTTAAGCACAGACATACAGCCATAATTGGCATTTACACATTAAAAATTTTTGAAAATTTGTCAGTTTACTTACAAAGTTACAGACAAAAACATCAGCCCCCCCAAAAAAGTCTGCAGCACATCATACACAAAAAAAGACAGTTCAAGTCAAACACTGTTCAAATATATTTATTTACTCTGAAGACAAAATACTCTCTACAGTTACAAAAACTACAAAACTTGCAATAGAAAAAAAATATATATATAAACCATTGAAGTACCATACTCAAAAATGGAATGTCGTACCTTGCAATAAGTAGCAAATTAAGTGAGATGATTACAAAAAGTACAGCATCAAACAGCTCTTTGGCAATCTGTAGTTTCATTATTTCAGCCAAAGATCATAAAACCAACTGACAGGCTATGAAAGAATATGAACTCTGTATGAACACTGAAAGCTATTGATCAAAAGTCTCACAATGAATCTTAGACTGTGTGTTTACATGGCATCAGGCTGTGCGTCAGCAGCCAACTGTCATCCTTTCCTCAGCCGGGCGCCATTTTTTTTCTCCCCAGGATGCATGAAAGCATCCATGTTTCAGTACAACGGATGGGTGGTGGTGGTGCATGTCAAGGATGGAAAATATGGCTCACCAAAGAAGAATGTAAATTTCAAAAGACAAGGATGGAATTTCATTGTTGACAGTAGCCCAGAAGACAGATGTTTCCAGCTGTTTAGCAAACCTCCCAAAAAGAAATATTTTTAAAAACTTTATGCATGAACATTGTGATTCATTTTATAGTACATAATTTAGGGAAGAAAAAACACCCAAGACCCTGCTTTCCAACAGTCATGTGAAATAGGTGGCATTCTTGATGCCAACCCTTCCTTCTAGACAAAAAAGCTTTGGTCAAGACATTTTTTGGATTGTACAAAAAAATTCTTGGAAATTCCTTGGAACATTTCCTGTCAATAAAGAATTCAAGCATTTCCCAGGTAAACATTTTGGCCGATTGGAGTAAATATACAGGCTTCAAAATTCTGTCATATTTCTGAAATGGTGTGGCTTCTGGCTAATAAACACCAATAATCCCTAAAGTCAAATCTGTTTAAATAACACATGACTCATCTAGCACAGGTTAAGCCACCCTAGTTGTAAAATAAATGCTGCTGCACAGGCTCCAGTAATGACATAGCCCAAGGCTGTGTTGTTTTGAGATTCTCTCTGAGGCCAACAAAGTGAGACGTTAACATTTGGCGACATTTTATAAACAGAGAGCCTCTTTTGTGAGGAAGACAACAAAAAGTACACTTGGCCAGGGGAGTTTAAAGCTTTCGGTAATCCTTACAAGGTCTGAAATGGACGAGGATTACTGCACTGCCACAAAAACACAGAGTGGGTAAAAGAACAGGGTGTAGACAAGGTTTTAGCCAAAGGCACAGTCGCAGTTTGGACTTAAGTAGGCAAATAGAAACTCGAGATGTGGCAGGCTTTCAAGTTTAGAGTCGTGGAGATGAACCATTTGTCACAACACAGCTTGGTCAGCATTTCTTTCTTTCTGACTGACCCCCAATACTGAAAGGCATATTTCTCTCATCCACACACACACACACCAACACACGCACGCACACTCTGGTCTCCCTCAGTGGTCTGACTGCACTCCTATTATGTGCTTCACCCATGTGTTTAAGGCCAGTAGGAATGGAAGAGCAGACGTTTGAGGCAGGAAGCACGCTCAGGCATGTATTCCTAAGAGAGGAAGAAGCAAAAACAGGGGGATGTTCAGCATGCATTTTCACTTAAATCCGGGATTTACTTTTTGTTTTTTTTAAACCTCCATGGGTAACACTGACGTTTTGCTGACTGGGTCAGGCCTTAATTTGACAGACAAAATCATTAAAAAAAAAAAAAAAAAGAAATCTGAGGTAGCCATATGAAATAGAGCTGAAACAACCAACTGACAAAATTATATATAACTATTGATAGTTGATTAATCATTCATTCATTTCCAGCTTCTCAAATGAGAAGATTTTCTGTTTTATCTTTGGATTTTAGACTGTTGGATGAAACTTGAGCTTAGTTAAATCATTGAGGGCCTTTTGCAACATTTCTAGCAGTGTCTTCATTACCTTTCTCGCTCGCCTCTCCTTGCTTTTCCTGGGCAAAGTTGAGGCGGTTCTGCTCGGCAGCCGTCTGTGCACCCGTGATGACCTCGGGGCTGCTGCTCCGTGAAGGGCTTCCTTCATCTGCCTGGTAGGCCAGGTCCAGGTGCTGCTGGGCCAGCTTCAGGTGCCTCCTCAACCGTTCCAGCTCCCTGGACGATGGCCCCTCGTCCCCCAAGCTCTCCCGCCCGGAGTCGCCCATTGGCGAGTCCCTTAGCTCTCCTTTCAGTTTCTCCTTCTTCATGCTCACGTGGTATCCTGGTGGAGCTGTGGGCAGGGAACGTGAGGAGGATGGAGGGGGGCCACGTGAGCTGAGGGCGGCCCGTCTGCGAAACGTGTCGCGGATGCCGCCAACCCCAAGATGGATGATTTCAAAGATGGTGAGGAGCAGGCAGAGGAAAGACACAACGTACATCACCAGCAGAAAGATGGTTTTCTCTGTGGGGCGGGACACAAAGCAGTCCACAGTGTGTGGGCACGGCGAGCGCGTGCAGACGTAGGAGGGTATCACCTCAAAGCCGTAGAGGACGTATTGGCCGAAAAGGAAGGAGACCTCGAAAGCAGAGCGCCACAGCAGCTGGCACACGTAGACCTTCATCAGGCCGTCACGCAGGATCCGCCGACGACCGTCATGCTTTTTCTCTGAGCCTTGAAAATATAGACGCTGGTTAGAATCTGATTTGGTTAGCATAGAAAGGAGGTAAAACCGAAGCAGAATGTTGAAACTGCTTTGTGATTGCTATACTGCAGCTCAAATCTCCACCTTACTTTTATCTGCTTTTTTTGGCTTGTCTGGTTCAATCTCCTCAGCAATCATGGGGTCCTCCTCTCCGTTGTCCTCAGCCTCCTCGTAGTCTCGAACGGCCCCACGGCTGACGATGGGCATCTTCTTCTTCTGGTTCCGAATGGGCCGGTACTCGTTGTCGTCCATGCGGGCAATCTTGTGCATGGCGAATCCCAGGTACATAATGGTGGGGGTGGTGATCATGATCACCTGGACAACACATGTGCATGTTTGGAGAAATTCAGCAAGATGTAATCATTCAGAGACATAAGTTTAAATTATCACTATAGATAGCATTTTGAAACATAAATATAGAACGTTGACTGAAATGTGATGTGCAGCTCACCTGAAAGATCCAGAATCGTACATGTGAGAGCGGCGCGAACGCATCGTAGCACACGTTCTCACATCCAGGCTGCTGAGTGTTGCAGACAAATTTACTCTGTTCATCGTAGTAGATCGTTTCACCACCAACGGCTGTCAGCACGATGCGAAAGATGATGAGTACTGTCAGCCAGACCTTCCCCACGAAGGTAGAGTGGTTGGAGATCTCATCCAGCAGACGAGTAAGGAAGCTCCAACTCATTGTGCCAAGGTGACTGGGGAGCTAAATGAGCTCTAGATGACAAAAGAAAAGAGAGAACAGTGAAATACTTGTTTTCCCCCTTTTTAAAAACTCAGTGACCCACTAATGCATTGCAAACATATGGCCTTTTGCACAGTTTCACATGGTTTTCTTTCCTTTTCTGTAGAACAGTAACCTCTAACTATAAATTAACAGACAACCAGAGATGCAACTACAAGCAGCATTTAGTCAATTCAGTTTGCTATTAAAGCTGAAGCAATTAGATGATTTGACAGTAAACAGAAGATTAGAAACTATTTTGATACATTTTCAATTGATCATTTCAGAGTACACCATATCCGGCCTCTCTTGTGGGAATATTTGCTGGTTTTCTTAGTTTCTTTATTAGGGCAGCTCAGTTATGGCAAAAATCCTAATCATGATTATTTAACCCGATTAGACATGGACTCTGGTATCAGCACGGATAGACGTGCATCACAAGCCAAAAAGTTGTGGCTGGCATGAACGCAGTGAGCTGAACTCAACACGCCACAGCCTAGATGAGAGTGAGTTTGGGATTTTAGGGGTGTTGCGAAAGCACACTGTTTTAAAGGAAAGTGGTGTGCTGGATTTAAGCCATCCTTTATTAATCCTTGTTGGGAAATTCATACTGTGCATTTAACACAAGACAAAATGAGCCACTGAGAAAATGGGATGCGGCACAGTAGTTTTCATAACCATTTGAAGCCAAAATCATAATTGAAAGTTATTCCGATAATCGTCCAGCCCTTTGGCTGCTGGTTGGTTAAAACAAGACATTTGAAGACTTCATATTGGACTATGGGCAATTATGATACATGTTTTACACTAATAGACCAAATGATTACTCAAGAAAATGGTCAGCAGATTACTCGATAATGAAAGTAGACACTCATGGCCAGAATTTAGTCAGTGAGCTTTAAAAGCCTACAAGCATTACTAAGATACTCCTCATTGAAATCAATACAAAGTGAATACATGCATAAAACTAGGTTTACACATCCACACAATGATTAAAGAATGTAAGAACAAATACTGCATGCAAATATTTTAGGTACACCTCAACCACAGGGCTAACAAACACGACAGCATGCTTTGTTTTAATCAGACACAGATCTCTCAGATGTGTAGCTATCCATGCGTAAACACCACAACAAACTGGATCCGTCCTGTTGGGTCACACAGCGCACTAGTCCTGGTAGCAGTTTGGTTAAGTCTACATTCTTACACCTCCCTGACATGCCAAGCTTGGGCTGCTTAATCAAACATGAAAAGTGTTGGCTGGCAAGTTGCAGCAAGCTGTGAGGAGACCTGCTGTTCCTCTGGTGAAGAATTATGATACTAAAAGCAGTGCATGGGGTTAGGAATTTATTTCCTGCCACATTGCCATAAGTTATTCCTTTAAAGACATGATTTGATAACTAAACATGGCCTAGACAAAATATAACAGCTGGACCTTTTTCCACTTCAGTAACTATTACAAGTGGATCGCTGAGCATTTAAAGATTAATTCAACCATTTTTGGAGATTAATTGGAAACAAAATTCAGATTTCAGATGTCATCTGATTTTATTTGGTAGTTTGGTTAACTTTTCAAGATGAGGTTACTAGGTTTATTTCTACGAAACTAGCTGAAAAAGGTTGCCTGAAGCCTATTTGAGCACTGAAATTGAACACCACATTGTCTACAGCACTCAAATCTGGGAGAGAAACCCCCCCCCCCCAAAAGCAATATATCATATTATAAGTACCAGGATGGCTCTATTCTTCAACCACACACAAATATTTAAATATTTTAACTGATATCAATGCCATAATAACTCTTCCCCCCAACCCCAATCATCAATCTGATCACCAACACACACGGAGCTGAAGAACTAAAGTGCAAAAGAACCTTTAGAACTCTTTGGACCTACCTTCACTACTGTCAGAAGACAGGGTGTAGCAAAGGAAATAACCAGCATTTCATGAGTCACTGCAACAGGACGAGGCTTTCGCCATTACAAGCATCTTTAGGTATGTCTCCTCAGTTTAGCGGTCTATACTCAGGCCCTCACTCGCCAGGTTACTCATCCATTCCTTTGCGAAATCCTTTCCCTATAATGGCACCTTCAATTACTTAGAAACAGTCAGGCTGACTTGCCTCAGCCTGAACAGAACAATACTTTACCAAAACCAGAACCATCATGTTCAAGTTCAGAGACTCACCAGCTACACCAAAGCTGTATGTGTGTTAGACGATGACCTGTCTTGGCTGGGTCCAGACGGGCAAATGATGAGCTTTGGAACACTTAGAAAATTTTCCTTCATAAAATATAGAACTAAATCACACTTCAAAAGTATATTTACATGACATCATTATCTCCAAAAACTCATCTCATGTGCATGCATGTAAATGTTGATTCCTGTTGGTGAAAATTGTTAATTGCTTGAAAAAAAACAGACAACTTTGTGACCCTGAAATTAAGTCTGAGACAGGAACAAGTACAGCTGGGAGGTGACTTCTGTTTTACCCTACCATACAAACCCCACCTAAATGACCCAGGAGTTTCAGCAGAGGTATGCAACAAAAGCACTTTAACACACACACACAAAAAAAAAAAAAAAAAAAAAAAAACACAATGAGGTTTTGTTACATGCTTTAGTGTATTGGTTCAACCAGTTATCCCTGGTGTTGGTTTCTCACAGCAGAAAGGACGGTGCTAAAATTTAAAAGTCCTTCTGACATTCAATCATCCCTTTAAACATCGTCCGGCCCAGTTACAGTGTTTGGTTTCCTACAGCGAAACTCTGTGCTCCGACATCCGCCATCTCCAGCTCAGACTGTGCTTCCAGGACACGACCCGTTATGCTAAAATACTGCGCGCAGACCAAAAGCATCTTTCCAGAAATGAGAGGCATTACTGTCATAAAATCCACAGCATTCTAACCACTAATGGACATCCAATATCAGTATAATCAAAAATAAATGCTGAACTGCCAAAACAGGAAGCGAAAGGCTGACGTTTGAATTTGACCTCTGCTGGGTTCTACCTCTGTTTGTGCCATTTTATCAACCTTGAAACAAACTTATCACTACACTTCAGCGACACAAAAGCACTTGGAAAATATACTCTTATTGGATATTACTTGACCTTACGTGACCATGTCAACACAGAGGTTAGACATGCAGTACTTGACCTGATGTTAGACTGACCAGTAAATGTCACTACTGCGGTCAGACTGCTTGATATTCTGCACAAATTGCTAAACAAGTCAGCCAAATGTCCACATGGTCAGCATATCTGAATTCTGTAAAACAGGAGAGCCAAAGAGTTACGGTTATTTCAGACGTGCTGTGCGCCACCACTGGGGCAAAGTGTAGTTTTGGTTCTTAGCTGTTGTTCAGTGCGATATAACCTCTGGACAACAGCTGTTAGCTCTCTAAAGGAGTTCAGCTCCTGGTAAGGGTCCATGAAAGGTTTCCAGAGGTGCAGGGCTAAAGAGGAAGGTTAAAGACTGTTCTCTTAAATGGTTTCTCTCCTCCCACAGTAAACAGACAAAATGTACTCGGATGATTTACTGCACCCCTTGTTAACACACTGTTAAATGCCATCAGTGCTTTCCTCCTCTCTAAATAAGACACCAAACAATCTATTTAACTTGGACAAACTGGTTTCCGAGTTCAAGTAAATGCGAACATTTTTGCAATGCCACCCTCCCGACAGCTAACCAAAGACAGCTTTTAAACAGTAGCTTATTTCCTCATGTGGGCTAAACCCAGCTCAACTGATTTAATGGCCTCTCTGCTTCAGGAGTCACTCAGCTCCAGGAGGAGATGGAGGGGGTTGGAGAGTTTTGGGCAAAGGATCTGGACAAAGCCAAGGCGAGTTAACATTCCTGTCTTAACCAAAAGCAGAATGCTGGATTTTAGGGTTCAGGGAGCAGATAGAGGGCACATGAAATCCCCATGCAGTCCCAGCAACAAGACAGGAATATAGCACCTACAAATGTCAATCACTGCTCTTCTGTAGTATCACTGAAAGAAAGAAAAAGAAAGAAGGGGGGAAAAAATTAAATAAAAGAAGTGTTTGACTTTGCTGAAGAGGGGAACAAGGATTTATCCACAAGACAGATTTACTTTTCCGTTTCAAATAAACTATGAAAAAAAAGAGAAGCTTAAAGGAGGTTTAAAAGACCCTCGGCAGAACGGTTGAAGGCTATGAACACGCTTTGCTGAGTCAGACTGAACTGTTTTGGAAATTGTGGCATTCCTGGAGGAAAACAAAGTGCTGCCAAGATTCAGTGGGGAAACAAAAATCTGGTGAATTAGAAGATGAAGCCATCATTTCAAAGAGTCAGACACACAATTGGTTCGGAAAGTTAGAACCACTATTAGGAGGAGAATTACTCATTAAAAAAACAAAGGAAAACCACTGCAGAAAGAGTCTGTGGTAGGAGTGTATTTAGATATTCCGAGGTGGCAGCTGTTAACTTCCTTTTAAAAATAGCATGTTGGCAGTTTTATCAAACTGTATCACCTTCTAATTTTTCAAGTCGAACTAACACTGACTTTTACCGAGTATTAACAGGTTAACCTTCTCTCCTTTAAACGTCAAACCAAAGAAAACAACACTTTGCTGCGACTCACTGCTCTGCGGTACGCACAGATCCGAAACTCGTTACGTGGAAGCCACTTTGCAAATTTAGACTAAACTGCTTGTAAAACACACATGGTGGATTGCAAAAAAAGTAACAAAAAGTACTCCGCTGAGGTTTAATGAAGTTGTAGAAAGGAACTACACTGTCTTTCTAAACTTTTCCCAATGCCAAACACCCACCTTATGCGCCGCAATCCGCGCGTCTTCTATCCTCGCGCTTAATTGCTCGACCAGGTTTTCCTAATTAGCGCGCGCTCTCATCGGCGTCTGCGTGCGTCCGCGTCAGAGGCAGCCTTCAGTCTGAACCCGTTCAGCCCGTGCTGACCCCATGTGTCGGGGTCCCGAACAAGAGGACAAAAGACAGATCTGCGATTCCTGCAGACTCCTGCTCTCCTCCTCCTCCTCCAACCCGCACCTCCTCCACGTAACTCGGCCCCATTCAAGAGGAGGCCCCTCGCCTGAAACCTGAGATCCAAGACACTGACTACCGTTCTGCCCTCACGACAAAGGACTAAAGGAATCCTATTATACGTTTGATGATGCTACCTCAGGTCTCCATAGGGAGTTTATAGGAATTTCATAGGAGATAAAAATACCACGAGCCACGTTAAGTCACTATAACCTTTCTGCTGGAGGCATATACCTTATTTGAACACATAGTCATGAAACAAAGGACAACCACATCTGACAATATAATATGTATATAGTCATACTGATTCCTTATAAATACAATTTAACGTTGGTAAAGTTCAAAGAAAAGTTGTTAATTGACCGGACAGCCCATGTGTCCACCCTGAAAGCCAGCTCTTCCTCTACTCTTTCATTTCAAGCATCCGCAATGTATAATCTCTCACTTGCCACTTTATTTATTTCACTATATGCCTACTGAGATTCTAATAATACCCTGATATTATCATAATATAACTTCATCCTCCAAAATGATCCTTAAGTTGAATTAACACCTCAAGAACTGACTGTGGACTGCATTAGTTTTAGCTATAGGTTCACCTTTTAAACTGTGCATGCATTCAGTACATATTTAAAGGGGTATTCCATGCACTTCAATAATGTTGGGGGGATTGCGACATATGTAGATAATAATTATCCAAATTGATGCACCAGAGGCTGTGATATTTTGACTTTTAGTCCCAAATGTGGTGCAGGTTAAAAAGAAATTATTCCCATAATGCACTTTGACATCGTCTTTCATTAAATCTCCCCATGCCTTGTAAATGCCTACCTGTTTCAAACTCCACACTCAGGCTGTAACACAGGACTTCTGGTTAAATGTGTAGAGGAGTCGAGATAACACTGATGACATCTCTGTGACATCATCGCGGTTATTTTCAGAGTAGACTTTCAAAAAGCTCCTCCACAGCCACAGAGAGTGCCCCTTAAAACCTCTTCCACATCCAAGGGATTAGAATCTGTTTATATTCTTGTTCTTGTTTTATGCTAAAAAGTACACTGAGTGCAACAACAGCATAATCTAATCATTCGTCTTTCTGCTGAGGACCCCGTGGACCACAGTTTGGCAGATCGCTGGCTTGACAGAGCGCTGCGTGACTGCAGCTTTTAGAAGAGGACGCCCACCATCCAACAATTTGGTTGACTCGAGTGTTCAGCAAAACAACAGATTTCTTGCTGTCATGCACAGTGCAGCTGTAGTGCTCCTGATTTACCAGAGGACCCCAAATGTTTGGAGGGAGGCTGTGGGAAGTCAAATCAGGCCAGATGTCTGTGCCCTTTCCAAATCTCCATGGCTGCATCCCAGCTTTCCCTCATACTAACTATCCTCCCTGCTTTCCTCTGGTTCTCAAGTGAGGCGTGCGCTCATTCACCTGTGCCTTTTTATTCTCACTTAATTTACAGAGAAAAATAATGATCTCTTGGTATGGTGGGGAAGTCTTAATTTTTCCTTTTCACTTGTGGAGTATTTGCATTTTTTTCATCCTGGAACCTGGTATCCATATTAAATACCACTGAATTAGTGTGGATGAAGGGTGAAAGGTGTGACAATTAGGGCCCCATAGCTGGATAGGGCCCAAATAATGACACTGGGATTATACAATTTAAGCCAAAATGGAAATAGGGGTGGGGCGAGTCTCTCCTGAGGATCAAAATTCCTTCCTACACCCCTGCTGTGAATATATTAACTGCTTGAATAAGGGCAGGACTCACTGGTATGGTCCACTTTAGATTTTTGCCCACCTGCATATAGCCTGCAGCCTTTTCATATTGAATGCACAAGTTGTGGTTGTGTTTTAGTATCAGGCTCGATTGCTTATTTCCTCCCCTAAACATAAAACTTTGTGACATAAATTTGTGGTGTGCAATTGTTATGACTCATGGATTTTTTAAGGCTGACTTTCTGGGCTCATTAATTTTACCACATTTTAGGCCAAAAACAAAAGGATTCAGTATTCTTTCACTGGAAGTTTATTCCTGGCACGATGGACAAGGCTCTATAACAGTGTTTAGATCATTAACTACCATTTTTATTTATTTTTTTTATACTTACAGAAAATACAACAGAAAATGGACAATTAACACATGGGGAAGGATAATAAAACGTTGAAATGCATGACTTAATATAGGCATATGAGAATGAGGAAACTGGTCCCAGATGCTCTATAAGATCCATACAATAGAATTAATGATGTACGATATACCATTTACTCAGCTTTACCTGCCGTCTTTACTTCCATGTAAACTATTTTTTATAAGACTTTTAGGGGGGGAATTAGCACTTTTATATATATATCATCAGATAAACTGAATTTCTCAAGACATAAACAACATATCAAGATGTGTCTAAATATTACTTACCCGCCTCTCCCCTCAGTTTTATGCAGGGACAAATGACCACAGTTAGATACTTCTTTAAACCACTACCCCCCTCCCCCGAATAAAACAAGAACAGAAAAACAGTCTGAGACATCATGTATGTAAAATGCATTTCTTCTGTTTCAAAAGGATCAACTATTATAGTCATTTATCAAACCAAACAAGCCAGCCCTTCTCCATCAAAGCAGCATGCACGTGGTGTGCATTATGCTCGTTTTTGATTAAAGCACTTAATGTTGACTTGTGTGCTAAATGAAATCCTAAAATCCCAACAAAGGGGGCTGCAGCTGTAATGCAGGACTTCTTTATATGAAAGCTTTGTCAATTTGCTCCGCACATATCCCATAAGTTCTTTGGCACTTTTGGATTCATTCACAGTGAAAGAGCTGCAATGTGTCAACAGAAAACCCTAAGCCTTTATTTTTTTAAGGAGTTTCAAGGGGTTCAAGCCTCTGCAGCAGAAAGCACCCCTAATGGACTCTATTTAAGCATATTTACATCCATATGAGCTCCAAAGATGACCTTTGACCTTCCTTTTGCTGAGACAATAAATGGGAAGTGAAACAACAAAAAACATTTTGTGTTGTTTAGTGTGTGAATCAGATTTATGTGTTGAATATTAAAACCACTCAGTGCATGGAAGCATGGGAGCAGTCACCAGTCATTTGTGTGTAAAACTGCTCCTGCTCACTGGTTTGTGGATTGGGGGGTGGGGGGTGATGGGTGCAACTGAAGGTAATCCTGGTCTTCAACAAGCATGTGCACAGCACATGTACAGCTCCAGTGGCTAAAGAAATATTTATACTGTGAAATTGGTTAACATACCTTTACTCAGCTGAGTCAGGACTCAGACTGAGCTTCGCTTAGAGGGTTCCTGTTGGAACTTTGATGTTGAGTGGCACAAAAGAAGCCGTGTAACCAAAAGGCCATAAGTTTGATCCAATAATCAAACATCCATAATTTCTTCTGCAGCTTTTTAGCATTCCTCCACCATTGCTGCTTTTAACTGTAGCCAGAAATACTGTAGTGGTTAAACTGGCCCAATAAAGTAGAATTCTAGTGAAGACACAACTCTAGAAGCTTTTATTTAGCACCAATGAAGGAGTAAAACAATTAGACAAAGTGAGTTGTGGGAGCTGTTAAAATGATGATTCTGCAGGTGATAAAAGGTTTTAAAGGAGCTGTACGCAAGATTCACTGCCACTAAATGTCGCACTAGAGCACCAGCATCTTTGACCAAAACAAACCCCACCAGACTCCATTGAGGAAAACAATAATACTTTACTTTACAATACTTTCCTTTTAGAAAACCTTTCAGATCATCGTAAAACACACTATTCAAACTGAGCAGAAACAAAATAAAACTCCTCAAGAGTGCCTTTTTTGTCTTTCCACTGTTCCAACATTCATCAACCCTGGTTTGATTGAAATAAATCCTTAATTCACAGAGTTCGTTACATGAGAAAAAGAACCAGCAGTTATATCGCTCTCCTCAAAGCACAGATTCACAGGGAGGGACTCACATGCATTACATGCACACGAGGCCAGACCGGCTACCAAAACAATGACGGAGAAGCTTGGAAGCTTGACAAAAAGAGGGAGTGTGACATCATTCTCTCAGGACGCCATTACTTCACTATATCTTTACAAGGCAAAAACGTGTTTTCTGCTGTATTAATGTTCAAAGTCACGTACACAGGACCTTTAAAAGTCACCTTTTTGGAGGGAGTATACACTGAACAAAATTATAAATGCAACACTTTTGTTTTTGCCCCCATTTATCATGAACTGAACTCAAAGATCTAAGACTTTCTCTATGTACACAAAAGGCCTATTTCTCTCAAATATTGTTCACAAATCTGTCAAAATCTGTGTTAGTGAGCACTTCTCCTTTGCCGAGATAATCCAACCACCTCACAGGTGACATATCAAGATGCTGAGTATTGCACAGGTCTGCCTTAGGCTGGCCACAATAAAAGGCCGCTCAAAAATGTGCAGTTCCATCACACAGCACAATGCCACAGATGTCGCAAGTTTTGAGGGGGAGTACAATTGGCATGCTGACTGCAGGAATGTCCACCAGAGCTTTTGCCCGTGAATTGAATGTTCATTTCTCTACCATAAGCCGTCTCTACAGGTGTTTCAGAGAATTTGGCAGTACATCTAACCGACCTCACAACCACAGACCACGTGTAACCACACCAGCATCTTCACCTCCAAGATCATCTGAGACCAGCCACCCAGACAGCTGCTGCAATAATTGGTTTGCATAACCAAAGAATTTCTGCACAAACTGTCAGGAACTGTCACAGGGAAACTCATATGCATGCTCGTCGTCCTCATCGGGGTCTCGACCTGACTGCAACTTCGCACAGCCATTGAAGATGAGTGGACCAACATTCCTTAGGCCACAATCAAACAACCTGATCAACTCTATGCGAAGGAGATGTGTTGCACTGTGTGAGGCAAATGGTGGGCACACCAGATACTG